GACTACAGTAGAGGCCCTCAGTAGTCTATTTGCTGATGGTATTGATGCTAAGGTGTACCTATTACAACTAAACCAGACCTTAAATACTGTCGTTCGCAAACATGCGACGGGGGAAAGTGGGCAATCATGAGATTACTGGATGTGCATATGTAATCATTCCGTAACATCTGCTTGTTGTCTCTGACATTAACATTTTGAGTCACACAGATCTGATAAATCGTATATTTTCGTCAACAAGGTCTTTGCGGTAACTACTAGCTTCAGTCTTACCAAAAGCTACATAAGGCATACTAAGGCATCCGCTAAATGCAGTTCAACAGTAAAATCCGGCAAAACTCGTGTTTGAGCTTTTATATAGTACATGCATAGTCCCTTTTCTGGAACAATTTTCCGAGTAAGACTTATCTTTCCATTAGATTTACATGCACGAATGTTAATTGCCTTTCTGCTGAAATTGATAGTTTTCAATTAAAATGGTCACACAAAAATTGTACGGAATATCACAAGCCTTTTTTTAATGGAAACTACCCAACTACTTCCAATAACTTGTTTAGCTATGAATGACCACAAGCGTTTTTAGTCAGGAATCTGATAACTAAACTTTAATTCCCTTTTCCACCGTCCCCTTATTCATAAATCAGCGAACACAGCTCATTTCTAGAGAAGGCGGCTTTCGAAACCAGTGATCACATTTTACCTGTACCACAATGATAGTTTAGGCACTTGATTTTGGACGAAGGCTACAATTATTATTTTGTGGCTCACTATTTTGAAAAGGTCGAGGTGTATGTGAAAATTTAAAGCCGTTTTTTAACCATCTAGCTTGTGTTCTTTTTATCCTTCCTCCCGGGTCCGATGAAGTGTCTAATCACTGAGTAACTGAACACCCTGAAGGCATCCTCTGATATAGCATCCTGTATCTTAAATAAGTGTCTTCGAATAGTTTCCTGGCTTTCGGCCTGATTAAAAGTTTTATGGACCCTCACATGCGATACACCTTCATTTGCACATTTTTTATTGTAGACTCATTTACCTGCACAGTTGAAGTTCCCTATCAATGTAGACTTACGTCGACGACGGAACGGTTTCCCCAGACTCCTTATGCTGGCTCGGAATGTACATCGTATTTGCTTCGCAAATTTGCTAACCCTGCGTGAATCCACTTGTTTAATTATCCGGCGACTCGTTGACTTACACAAGTCTGGCCACTTTTTACTGCCACAGGAAAGACTTGTGGCGCGGAGTCAGCGTTTTCTCCTGGGCGCCTGCCTACTTTCATTCGCTCAAGATGTTATATCCGAGGATGAAATGATCGAGCATGTTTTCACTTCTTAGATACTCACACGCAAACCTATTTAGGACAGCAGCATCGTTCGAGATCTCCAAATACAACAGTTATTTGAAAAAGGAAGCTAAGAAGGCAGTACCGGAATCTGCTTCCGTCCAGTCCCCACAAGATGTTCCTATCCCATCCGAGACAGAACAATCTTCGCAGCCAGAAGAGCTTAACGCTCTCCAGGGCCCAATTACCCTACAAATACGGCAGGCCCGAAAAGCCATTCTAGAGCGATGTCGAGAGTTTTTCGATAATCTGAACCAGACCACCGTACTGATGCCAGTAGAGTCAGAAGTGGCCTATGCTGAGCCACCAAAGACACCCGGGGTGAAGTTGCTAGACCTTGTCGGCGACTTGGCGCCCGATGGTTCCGGTTTTGTCGACTCGGAATGGGAACTAATGGTGGAAAAGCCGCATCTTCGTTTATGGCGACGGCCATTGGAGAGGAAACCAGCATCAGCACTGCAACCTGACGAAGTCGAACATCTAAGTTTTTTTGAGTACAGAGGTAAGTAAGCTGTCGCCAGTTAGGACCATATTTGAACCACATTTCCATCAATTTGACTAATTTTCCGGACAATCCTTTAACCTCAGCATGACTGACTTAATGGAAAGAAATACCTCCGGGTTTCCATTGTATCCTCACGAATATAGCGAAAATACGTTCTTCGTAAAAAAGCCTGCCAGTTTATCATCTGATAACAACCTAAGTCGCGAGACAAGCTTCCAAAAAAGAAGAATTCGACTGCTTGTCCCATGATCACTGAACAGAGAGAAAGCTACTTGCCGCCAATACCGAGGCCGCCACTTAGCTACAGTGGGTGTATGCAAACGTTATCTTAAAAAACAGAATAAGTCCAAATAAGTCTTCATTCTACAATATCGAGTAAACTTACCTACGGAATGAGATTATAAGTGTAAAAACTCCCCACATCATCTATTGAAATCCTTCTGTTTGCTGCCAAATGTAAAGGTACACTGAAGTATGGTTGTAACTTTAATGGGCATCGAACATGCCCTCACTGAGACAGGTTTGACTTTGTCGCGAGTCTTAACGCCCACAATAGGTAATAATTCGCAGCGAAACGGCACCCAGCTCATCTGTGACTGCCCATCGATCATCCATAAATATTGATGAACTGGTACTTACCATAAAATGAATTTACGATTTTAAGTTTTTTCCGCTCAATCGCTTCAAAAATTACTTTGATGACAAATGTATCTGGGGAAGGAATTTCGGGAGTGAACATTGTCAGTTGTATAAATTGGAAGGCACGCATCCTATCATCTCAACCATTCTGCGAATTCAATTCACACTAGAAGGAGGTTAACAGTAAACTCCCGTTTCTGGATGTTTGCGTGCAACGAAATACTGACGGAACATTACAAACGTCCGTTTGTTGCAAAGACACGTATTGCGGGAGTTATTCTTAACCATAAGGGCTGCAACTCCATCTCTCACAAAAGGAGTGCCGTCTGCTACGCCGACCGAAGACACACTGCTCTGACGAAAAAACCTACCGATTCGACCTAAATTATCTGTTTTTTTTCCTGCAATGTTTACCCCAGAGACTTTGTACACCGATGCCTGAAACAACAACAATCCAGAGAAAAGGAACTAGATAGTTCTACTCAGGCGCCAAAGATAAATATATGACGAATCCTTCTTTATATAAGGAATGTGTCTGAACCCGTTGAAAGGCACTTGCGGAAATACCAAATAAAAGTGGCGCACAAACCGACGGCTACTTTACATGCCTAGCCTGTACACCCTAAGGACAGGGTTGGCTATCTCGATAAGAAATAAATCGTTTACAAGCTCTCATGTGAAGCTTGTGATAACGTATATTGTGGCCAAACAAAAAGGTTCATTTTCACACACATCCACGAGCACCAACTGGCAGCGAAGAGACGTGACCATTTGTCCGAAGTGGCTATGTATAGCTTTGATATAGGACACACCTTCGCATGGGACAAAACGCGCGTCGTCAGACTTTGTCCCTCCAAAAAGGCCGCGAATTTCTTGAGGCCATGCACTTCGATGATTCATGCATCAACCGACATATCGAGTTGGATGGAATGTACAAACATCTCAAAGAAATACGGAGGAGATGAGAACTGATCGATGCAGACTGACGCAAATGGCAGCCGCCACTTAGTGCTAACACAAAATGACTATTGATTTTTGCAGCATGTTTCAAATTTTAATTGTTTGTTGTAAATTTTATCAAGTCTGACGATGGCTTGGGGTTCCAGCGTCAACAATTTACTGAATAAACTTACCTTGTTTCCCAAAGAAGTCTTTCTTTCAAATTTTCAGTTATCTTTTCCAACGCCAGCAAAATTATGTAGCCACCAAAGTCAGTGAAGAAGTATACCCCAGTGAGATTGACCTGTTTGGCTGGGTAGCTCGCTGCTGTAGCGTGTAAATTGACTTGGCGTTATATTCCATATTTTTTTGATTTCGAAGCCCAACTTATGTATTTTCTATTTCGTAGCATATAGGCGAATTTCAGTTGCTTTTGCGTTTTTTTGCGCCTGTTACTGATATATAGCAAGGATAGATTCTCCGGCCTTTCTTATTAACAGTGGCTGCGACAAATCATGTTGACTGCTTTTGTAAACAACATGCTATCGCTTTTATTCTGGCCCACGTTTTCAGTATTTACTCCAAGTAGCAGCAGTCTCCTATCCGTTAACAGTCTTAGTTTTTGGCGATCTTTCTCTTAGTTTCGCGAATTTTTCAAAGTTATACCTTCGAATAAGCACCCTCTTCTGTTATGTTCTCAATGAAATAACCTCATGGCTGTCAAAAAATGAATTTTGGTAAGCAGCGCACCTGGCGATTCTTTCACCTGCAAGGAGTATATTTATATAAATCGCGTTCACCATATCCTGAAGAAGAAGAGGGAACCAGCTCGTGGATCGAATTATGTTTGTACTGACGTTTCGAAGACCTTCTCGTTTCTATCATCAGAGTATTGTGAATATTGCGTCTGATGGTCTTGCGTTAATCAGTCTTGCCATGTGTCATAGTCGTGCTGGACGCACAAGGTCTGACCCGTCCGTTCGCTACTGACTATCTCTGACCTCCCCAAGGTTGACCGCTGGCGGGCCTGCGCGACCTTTGTTCTCTTTGGGCGCAGAGCAGTGGTAGGCAAGTCAATGTGTCTGTTGGCCTCTCCCCGTCCATCGGCGGATTGTACAGTCGTTGCGAGGGTGACCGGACAGTAGGAAACCCAAATAACACCGAGAACGCTGGAGGCCCTTCAGCTCATAGCTGTCGGACTGACATGATCCAAGGAATGCATTGCAGTAGCTCTCATGCTTGCCTTGAGATGTTGTTCAC